TAGCCAAAAGCCCCTGATCTTTTTGAAAACGGACCATTTACTTCACAAATAAAATAGTCTATGATTTATAGGCCTACATTTTTAGTTGTCCTTCAAGTACTAGAAATCCAAATGTCCGTAATGAAAAGCAGTCTGCGCTGCAGGCTGTGGTAGATTACCGCTTACCTTAAAGGCAGAGTGAGGGATTTCTGGTAGCCAATGTTTATATTTGAAATCATGCGCTTAACTCACACAAAATAACCGTCATTAATATCACTGGATAAAACATTTTAGCGTTTCATTCGGTAATGATTAACTTCACGATTTCATCAAAAATTCTCTAAACGAGTTTTGTTGATATAAACGCTTTAAATGGATAAACACACACACACACCTACCTTTCTTCAGCCGAATCACAGACGCGGGAGCGCGGCGCAGCTTTATGACGTCATATCTCCAGACCAAAATAAAAGTCTTGTTCGCTAAAGCATAGAATTTTACAGCAGAAAACAAATATAAATAATAAGGTATATTAGGAGCTATCATAACCCCAAAGCTATCAATACCGTTGAGCTGTACATGTAGTCTTATATCTAAATTTAAGTTCATGATAAATTACAGAGCTTTTGTGATATTCTCAATCAAGGATAAACTCCAGTATCTTGGTCTTAAAATTACAGGAGAAGGAAGAACGTATGAATATTACAAATTCATAAAAATGTGTAGATCAAAATTAAATTTGTGTTTGTAGGGAGATTTAAATATTTAGTTTATTAATTGAAACTAAAATCTTATGTCAATGTATTCATCTTATTCCATCTCAGTTTCTCCCCAGAACATAAACACAATCAATCTAATTTCAGCGTTATTTTGTTAAAGTGGATTTCATTAAAGGTCCATGACTGTAAAGAATTACACTGACTGTGAGTTTGAAACAGTTGGTTTTGACTGTCTGGATGAAAACCTTTGATAAAAAAAAATGGTTAAAATAATTTCTTGTAAATGTAAATTAAATGTGAATAAAATTGATGAAAGTGTTATTAAAGCTAGCAGTATATAATCTGTGCTAAAATGTGATTATACACACGTTACCTATTAAGCTCTCCGATTTCAATAATTGGAAATTGATTTATAAACATAATTTTCTTCTTTATTTGAAATCATATGATTTCAGTGGTAATGTTCTTTGAGCAGTTTTGTTTAAATGGTAGTTTTTGCAGTATAAATTAAAATGGTTCATTGGTTATTACCACTTCAGTTTCTTTAATTGGCAAAAACCATGCCAACATATTCAGTTGTTACTCCTCATCTTCCATTATTAAGAATGAACAGTTCAGTACATTCTGGGATGTACTAGGATGTAGGTGGTAACAAATAAATATAAGGTTATTGCACAAATCTTTATTGCACAACGGGGGAACATTTAACTGTTCATGAGGTGGATTGCCTGGGGGAAGAAACTGTTCTTGCGCCTGGCTGTCCTGGTATTTGCGGCTCTGAAGCGCCGGCCAGATGGCAAAAGTTCAAAAAAAGAGATGTCTTGGATGTGAGGGATCCAGAGTGATTTTCTGAGATTTTCTGCAGTCATCAAGACTGACTAAAGCAGTGAATCACTGTAGTTTCATACAGATTTCAGGAGGCTGTCATTAGAAGATAAAGTATGCAATATAATGTAAGCAGCTACAGGAATTTGCCCAGATTTTCACCAACTCTGATCCAATCAGCATAACTATAACACTCATTATCACAGAGATCAGGGCCACTGCATTCACGTTTAACTCAGGTATTGATTAGCAGCAACAAAGACACCAATTAAAGAAATGAGGCAGAAGCATCAACAGCCAATAAAGACAAAAGGTGACACCATGATCAGAGATGGGCATAAATACATGAGAAGATATTTAAAATAGAATACTGTGTGGAAAAATGTATTTAAATACAAATATAGTATTTTGTATTTTGAAAATACACAAAATATATGTGAAATTTGCCTTTTTTTTTATGAACAATGAAACCAAAAACTTAAGATTTTTTTTGTGGTGTACCATTCATCAGTGTCTTCACAAAAACACATAATCACTACACTGCACTAATGGTGACACACAGTGATTAACCTAATTCTTTTGTCTCTACATAAACATACATTTGCATAGATGGGTGAACACAATCACCTGATTTTGTAAATGTGCCCAATTTTTGGTTAAACACCAAGTTTGCACTTGTCTAAAAATGCTTACATTTACAAAATGAGCCTGCAATAGCAGAAATAATTAAAGTAATGGTCCGTGTTTAATATTAACATTAATTAAAAGAAAATGTGTAATGAATTAAAAAAAACATACAAGAAAGCTGTCACGCTACGGTGAATGAAACGCACAAAGAAGATGATGAACAATGCAAATTGTTTTTAATAATCCACAATAGGGCAAACACAGGTCGGACAGGCAGGTTGAACACGTAGGAATGTAGTACACCGGACGGGTTCTTAGGAGGAGGACACAAGGAGTGGAGAAGGGATGGTGACAGAGGACGGCAATGGGCTGGCAGGAAGGCAGGCAGACAAGACAGGTGGAGGCTCC